TTTTGATATTCTGAGTTGCAGTTTCTTCTTGAAAATAAAAATTCTAAGAGTTAAAACGTGAATCCATCTTGAATAATGCTCTTCTTCAGCTTCCAAAGCTCTGCTCGGATTATGTATAGTTAGAAAAGGTATTCACATTAAAGCCAATCCTCAATAACTGACAGTTATTACAATTTCTGTAAATAGTTTTTTATTGTGGGGGTGAATAAAAAATGCAACCAATGTTCAAACCACATGAGTGAGGAACAGTAATTGCGAGCTGGTTGTTGGATGGCTCCTCCAGCAGCAGATCTGTAAGGTAATAGCAGCACTCATGTCAAATAACGATCCCACTGTCAGAAAAGCTCTGCAGGAAAAATGCAAGTAAATAAATTAAAGGATCTTCTCCTTCTCGCTGTCAGATTCAAGTTCAAGTTGCTTTATGGCACAGTCATACTGGCATATACAGTATTTCCAAAGCATTGTACAAATACTCACAACAAGAACAGACATGTATGCCTTTGAATGTACTGTTGTGTGTGTATACATTTTGAGTATATCGTTGTGAATACTTATATTTTGAACCTTGTACCTTCATTGACAGAAGAAATCTATTTTGTAGGACGCCCTACAGTGTATAAAAAAAGAAAAGAAAAGAGAATTCTATATTATTGTCCAGGATATAGCCAATAGTATACATATTATACATGAACAAATTATGGAAAATAGTTGTGAGGTCTATAGTGTAAATTGACAATATTATGTCAGTCTGATTTCCCACGATGTGTCTGGCAGAGACAAACTGTCATGCTTTGCTTTCTTTTATTTCCCCAGATAAGATTTATTATTTACTGATCTAATAAATTGTGGATGCCTATAAACAAAACAAATGCAGGGGCAGGCTAAAAGTGTTGTGCACTGTGTAAGGATGTGCACTGCTCTGTTTCTAACAGAGGTGACAGAAGTACTCATATTGTGTACTGTGGTGGAAATTCTTGATATTAACTAGTCAAAGAGATCTCTTTCTGGTTCTTTAATCTTTTGCAAAAGAGGCAAACAACATGAAGAGCAATGTCTCCACATTTTTTACAGTGAATACATGCTTAGTCATGAGATATCTGACCCATAACCCTATCAGAGTACAATAGACCCATGACCAGATCACTGATCCCCCACTGTGTGGTCACATGGCACCTTGTGACTGATCAAGTCAAAGTCAAATTCAACTTTATTGTCAATCTGCCCTGGCCTCAAACCACCACAGCCTGACAACGGCACAGCGAACAAAGAAGAGGATTACACCTGTTTCCTTGATATTTGTCTCTGGGGAATGGGCTGGTAGGCTTACATGGACTGGTTGCTATAATATAGCTTTTGATCTTGGCGTCGGGGGTCTTAATAGCACCATAGAGTCCCCTATCGGTTGGGGCCCTTGGGGGAACTGTTGGACCACCGCCGGGCACAGCCAAATCCAGCCTCTCCTCCTGGCTGGAGAAGAAGGTCGCACAGCCACGGATACAGCTTCACTTGTGGAGCTAGATGGCAATGGTGGTGGTGAGGCAGGTGAGCTATCGTTAGCTTTCGGTTCCCGTTGCACTTCAACATTGCTAACGTTAGCATTAGCTGTCTAATTTCGTCAGTTTAGCTGTTACATCTCCTTGTTCTCTCTTGTCATTCTCTTTTGAGCGCCGCTCTTGTGCTTTGGTTTGCTGTACATTATAAATGCAAGCTATTACATTTTTTATAATGCTGCCGAACTTGCTGCTGCTAGCTACAGTACAGTACAGGTTGATTAAACAGTTAGCTCGTCACGCAAGGTATCACATGATACACCGGCTGCACCGGTCGACAGATACGCCACTGGGCCCAAAACAATATTTGCACCGGGGCCAATCACAACCTTCTTACGCCACTGGCTCACTCATACCCCTCTTTTGCAGCCCTGTTGCAAACAGGCTGATTCTGCTGCTAGCCACGCCCCTTTGTAGCATCATGCAGCTTTCCCCTGCTACCGGGAGAGCTCAGCTAAACGCTGCAGTGATTAAATGCCATGTAATGCTCCTAACCACTAACCAAGCTTTATTTCTGAAACAGTATGGAGCTCAATCAATCAATCAATGTTTATTTATATAGCCCAATATCACAAATGTTACATTTGTCTCAGTGGACTTCACAGTTTGTACAGAATATCAGTATGACAATACGACACCCTCTGTCCTTAGACCCTTACATCGTAAGGAAAAACTTCAGGAGAAAACCCACAGTTTAAAGGGGAAAATGGGAGAAACCTCATGGAGAGAAACAGAGGAGGGATCCCTCTCCCAGGACGGACAGACGTGCAATAGATGCCGTGTGTAAATAGCTCAAACCTTTCTGTCTTGCAACCCAGTCTCACGGCATTTCGTGTTATAGTCACGACATTTAATATATTGATTCGTGTTCACCAACATGATTTTCCCCTTTTTTTCGTGTCACACAGAACGATTTTAAAAGCAATGTATTTCTATTGGTAGTAGGCTATGTTTCGTGCCTGCACCACGTCTTTTTGTCCAGTCGGGTCTTGGAAGACCGGAAGCTGTGTGGTTCATAAAAACATGTTCTTAATCAATATGGATTGTTTAGCCGCAATGCACGTTTGGATATGGTGTTTATGCGATATGAAATCCGAAACACATTTAAAAAAAAGAAAATAATACTTTATTCCAAGTGTGCTTGCTTTTCTCTTTGGAAGTCATCACATAATAGCATTGTAATACACGGTTCGGCTGCATTAAACATCTGCCGTAGTTCTTTATTTATAGAGCCCTGATTAGGAGACTTCTAGACAAACTGGAAGAAACTGAATACGTGACGTGGATCATAAATATATCAGCAATTAAACAACATCTTAAATTTCTCTTCACACAATACGTCTCCTTGCCGATCTAGATCCCTCCGCTTCGTGTCGGGCTCCTGATCAGCCTGTCGGTGTTCTTTTCCCCATAATGACCGCGTCGCTGCACATTATCCCTTACATACGATTATATAGAGTCATTATTCATTTGTTTTAAAGCAGGAGGCGCAAACGCTTGCCTCGGGGAGGGAGAAAAAGAGCCACAGCGGAGAATAAACAGAAGAGCAACCATGCAAGGGAAGTCTTCTTCGCTGCTTTTGTGGCAGACTACAGCGCCACTTACAGGCCTGGCATATGTACTACAGCGTCTCCAGCGCTTTCGAGCAGCAATGGCCGGCCGTGGCCCAACCTCTCATTCCCCTGATAGGTGGATAATTGACCAATAGCCGTAGCGCCATCGTCCTGACGTCAGGACAGTGTTCAAATCTGGATCAGTGTCATGGTTTTGGATTTTTGTTTCATTTTCCACCTTTTTGTTTTGACATGTTTTCATCCTTGTGTCTGTCTGATCTATACTTCCTGTATTTGACTTCCTGTCGTTAGTTTCCCTCCTGTGTCTGATTGTGCCTCATTGTGTTCACCTGTTGCCTTTGTGTTTCTGCCTCCCCTGCCAGCGGTGTCTTGTCCTATGATTACCCTTCTGTGTATTTAGTCTTGTCTTCCCCTGTGCTCCAAATCTGTTCGTCGTCATTTCATGTCCCTGTCACCTATGCTTGTCCGTGTCTCCTGCCTGTTCCCGTCGTAAGTTTGTTCCTGTCTGTCGTGCTCCCCGGTTTTGTTTCTGGTAATTAGTTTCTTGTTTTTTCCTGCCTTCGGCTTTTGTTAATAAATGGGTGTGTCTAAGGTCCAGTTGTGATAGCCACGGTTCGCCACTGTTGTATACTGTGCTCCTTCTCTGGATATGGCCGTTTCCAATTTAAAATCAGATTTTATCACGCTGCAGCATGCACTTCTTGATTCCAAACTGCTTTTGAACAGTAAGAAAACCAAAGCAATGCTTTTTGCTCCCAAGTCAGCATCCTCTTGCTTCTCCATTGACACCCTTGATGGCATCTCTGTTGAGTTTGTCGATACCTATATCTGGGCTTTTGGTTGGACAGTAATCTGAACTTCAAACACCATGATTGAAGTTCTATCAAAGAAATTGAAATTCACTCTTGGCTTCCTTTACAGACTTAAATGTTGTTTTTCAACTTCATCCCGTAAAAGGTTGGTCTCTGGCTTATTCCTGTCCCAGCTGGACTACGGTGATACCATTTATAGATTTGCCTGTCCCACTGTTTTGGCCAAACTTGACCCACTCTACCATGCTGCACTGCGTTATATCAAATGCACCCTATAGGACTCATCATTGCAAACTGTATAGCCTAACTGGATGGTCCGCACTTAGTATGCGTAGGATGCAGCATTGGTTTTTATTAATGTATAAAGCCATTTTAGGTAAGCTTCCACTGTACTGTGCCAGATTTGCTCCAGTTTGTGACTCTTACAACCTCAGATCCAGTGCCTGGATACGGTTCCAGGTACCTGCTGTGCGGACTGAGGCTGGGAAAAGGAGTCTTTTTTATTATGGTCCTTGGTCTTGGAATGACCTTCAATCACGCCTCAAACTGACGGCACTTGTCTCAATAGCATGTTTTAAATTGAAGTTGTCTGAAGTCCTTACCACCAGCTGCTCTTGCAGTAATAAGTAGTGCACCTTTCTTACTGTCCTAGTGTGCACAATGTAGTGACTGCTTTTTCGTCTTTTGTTTCTTAGTTATATTCTCTGTATTTTATACGTTTGTGTTATGTGTAACGTTGCTGCCTTCTTGGCCAGGTCAGCATTGCAAATGAGATTTTGTCTCAATGCTTTTATCTGGTTAAATAAAGGTTAAAATAAAATAAATAAATAAAAGACGTACAAAAGTGCATTTTGCATGATAGGTCCCCTTTAAGTTTTGACTATATTTCACAACATGACTCCAGAAGACACACACACACACACACACACACACACACACCGTGTTGGCCCCTGTCATAGCCATGTCCCGTGACCTACAGTATAGGAGCCATGTCCCGTGACGTAGGAGCCTCCTTTATATGATGCTGGGCGACTGAGCAAAGCGCACTTTACGCAACACTCATCCTGCCGGAGTCTTCACTGTGATTACAATGCATCAAATAGTGGTGACTTGGAGGGAACAGACTGCCCCAATTTAGGAAAAAACTGCTAGAATAAGATTGAGTCTTTTCATTTACTTTGAAGAATAGAGATGAATATCTTTGGCAAATGATTAAGGAGTCCGAAAAGGCTGAACGCTGACTGAAATGAGCTGAATACGGAGAAAGGGACGCGCGAAGCTTCACGGTAACAGGTGGACCTTTATTTTTTCATCTCTTTTTAGCCTTTGTGTCAGTTTTTTAACATCATTTTAGCAGCTGCATGCTCTCAGCAGCTGTAGAGGAATGTGAAAACATGAAGTGCTCAGGTGTTCATGTCCCGGAGGAAACACAGCAGAGAGAAAGACTTAAGAAGGAAGCTCTTAAACTTTAAACAAAGTCACCAACCCTCCTCCAAAACTGCCTCAGAGTGAGGACAAGCTCCGATGCATGGACAGCAGGATGTTTTCTGGTCAGGATGCTCTGAATTACAGCTTTAACCAGAGCGGTGACATGGAGCTGGTGGACGAGCACGATGAAGCCAGAGGGAGGCTGTCTCCCGCCGGCTTCGTCGTGCTCTCCGTGGTGCTGGGCTTCATCATGACTTTTGGCATCCTCAACAACTTCGTCGTGCTGCTTTTGTTTTGCAAATTCAAGAAACTGCGGACGCCGGTGAACATGCTGCTGCTGAACATCAGCATCAGTGACATGCTGGTGTGTTTGTTCGGCACCACCCTCAGCTTCGCCTCCAGTATCCGGGGCAGGTGGCTGCTGGGGCGGAGCGGCTGCAGCTGGTACGGCTTCATCAACTCCTGCTTTGGTGAGTGCCATTTATTGATGCTCCCTGCTGATCCTTGAGTAAAAACACAGCTAACTGGTGTGTTTGGTAAACTGATTGTGGTTTGAGTTAAAGTTAACCTTTCGACATATCAATCAGAATCAGAATACCTGTATTAGTCCCACAGAGGGGAGATTTACATTGTTACAGCAGAAAAGAGCCAAAAACAGCTTAATGTTAAGACGCATGCATAAAAACATATCCAAATAGTTTGAGTGTACATGTATGGGAGTCTTACAGTATGCGCAATGCTTACTTAAAAACACGTTTCTATCAGTATGTCATTGACAGTTTTTTTTTTCTATCTTGAATAATACTGAAGATCCTAAAAATATTTTTGTTTTCATATTCTATGATATAGTTTATCATTTTATAAAGAGGACTTTAATATATAACTGCATGCTTATACATGTTTGTTTACATCTGTTAAGTGGCCAAAAACAAGCCAGGTTACTCATACAAAGTCGATCACAATAGCAATGTTTTGTGATGCCTCATTTTTTGTATACTTAAATGACACTAAAAATCACAAATACAACATTGGTTCTTATATCATAGGCTGTGACTGAGGGCTTGAATAAATCTAGACAGGTTTTTATGGTTTAATATGTTACGCATGCCTTCATACAGTAGCAAAAAATTAAACAAATTGTTTCTGTAAAAATTAAAAGAACACTATATATTGTGATATAGTAGTCCACTTTTTAGGAAGACAATTATGAAAAGTAGAAATGACTGCTGCTAGTTTGCTTTTAATGAAACATTAACGGAAACTGGATATATCTTTTGACATTTAAAGGTATAGCTCAGTGTAAATAGGCAAATCCATTCCCTGGATACATCACCATATCACTTGTCCGTTGCTTATAATCCCTCTCACAGTAGTTCAGTGATAGAGGTCTAAAGGGGATTGGATGTGTTGATGTTCTCAGTAGAGCAGATCCTCTCTTTGCTGCACCATCTGTCTAATGACTTCACTGAGGGGACTCAAATGAAGCTGTAAATGCTTATTTGCGGAAATAATTGGCTTTTTTGCTGGAGGGGTAGAAAAGGGAGCGAGGGCAAGTTTGGTGTCAAGGTATACGTGTGTGGACCTTTGTGTGAGAATTAAAAAATGATGCTGAATGTTCATAATGAGCGGTAGTCAGTGCTCTCTAGGGACAAAATATGTGGTGACATTGTTGCTGTTTTGCCATCAAAACCTAGTCTGGCACTGCAATCTCTTGTTCCTAACGCCTATATACACCACTATGCATCTAAGTGTGATCATGAAATACATGTATGACTTCTCACAAGCCTCTTTTTAAAATAAACATTGTTTGCTTTATAGCTGAAAAGATCTTGGCAAAATGTCAACGTTGTGTGAGTTAACCTAATTGTGATGCTTTGTTGGGGTTGGTGATTACCACTCTTATTGTAATTAGAGAGGTGTACCTGAAATACGTTTCCCAAACGTGATGAGAAAGCCAAAGATCTAAAATCTAAATATTTTCTTATTGTCAACAAATTCCGGAGAATGTATTTACTAATTTATTTCCTGATATACACAAATACCATAGACCTCCAATGTTGTCCAAAAACGATTGAAAACAAAGTCCTGTTGTGAAAGATTCAGGTTTTCAGAAGAAACAAATTAGAAAGGAAGTTGGCAATTGTACTGATGCGTGATGCATGTTTGAGGTGGATTAGTGCTGGCCTGGGCTTCAGGATAAAAGCTCTTACTGGCTTTTCAACATTAAGCATTTAAATGCTTTTTTACAACCATAATTCACCGTTACAAATGGACTCCACGTTGTTTAATCTCATGCAGTCAATTGAGCAATTAACTATTCAGGCAAACACTGAATACTCCACTTGACTTGCACGCTTGTTGTTCTGAAGAAACTATTCATTCCCAGGCTTGCTGTAAATACATAAATACATCACTCCAATCATTGAGCCCAATTACAGGGCTGGAAAATCAACTTGACTCCTCTCGTTACACCGAACACTGCAGGTATCTCTCCTGTCGACCTCCTAAAGGGTTACTCCTTGTTTGTCTCTTGGGAACTAATCTCCACTCATCCATTTTGAATACATATTGTGCTTGGCAGAATTCTCATCTCATCAATCTCGCAGCATCGTTCACAATAAGTACTCCTATACTTGAATGAAGCGTAAACATTATGTACACATTGAACAGCATCCAGCACATTAACATAGTCAAGAACATCTCTCAGTGTTGTTGAAAGATCATTCATACACCATCTGTTTCACATGTCTATTGATGCATGGCCACGCTTTAACAAGTCGAGGGCTTTGGTGAGACCACAAACACTCTTCTTACGGAAATGCCGGATTTAAATTATTCATTTAATCTATAGATCTCCCTGCCACAATCTCCACCATCAGATGAGATAGCAGAGGAGCTGCTCCTCGAAGTCACTGCAGGAGCACTAACTCCCACTTTATGTGTAATCGTGTCAGAACACACTTTGTTGCTCTGCTCAAGGCAAGTTAAAAGCAAGTGTTACGTCCCCACTAAGGTCTAGGGGACCTGGAGACAATAACATACAACCAATAATTAATGAGGGAGTCAGCGTAACAGTTTACAAAAGGTTTATTTTCTTAACCCAGAACCGAACAGACATGTAACTGAAACCTTAGTTGGTGAGGAGGAGGAGGAGTCAAAGGATTGCGCCAAACAAAAGAAACAAGCATAACAAAACCAGGCCTATCTCTACATCTATCCTTTGAAACCAAAACTCAAACAAAAACCCTCACTAACTAAACTACAAAGACTTTGACAAAACAATATACAGGGGTGGCAACAATCCGCTAACCTAGTGTGCCTAAACATTAGTTAGCTACGTGGTGAGAAATCTACAGGGTAGCCCAGACTTACCTAACTCCTCCACCTCTCAACACACTTTCAATAAGGTCAGACAATACAAAGAAATTTAGTGGCTAAACACTGCAGGCTCCTTCATCAGCAACAGGCCCAGAGTGAGAGAGCGAGAAGACTTCCTGGGTGCCTCCTTTATGGTCGGCCCTGGCTGCTGATAGGCCAGCTGAGGGTGAGAGGATCCAATCAGCCATCAGACTCAGGTGCACAGGCAGATACCGATCAGCTGCTGATTAGCTGTGCAGAAGACAGGGAGAAGAGAGAAACACAGGAGGGAAGGAAAACCACACCAGTACAGCCTGCCTGGCACGTAACACAAGTTAAAAAATAAACGCTTTTTGAAAGTGACATTCATATTGCAGAGAGCACTGAAGACGTACAGTAAATCCCCCCCGAGTCTTCTAAAGGTATTTTTACCCATGAAACAGGCATGATGCAGGATGACTCATACTACTGTAGATACTCTTATTCCATCAATTTAGAAAAGTTATTTAAAGATGAACAAGACTTTCATGAACTATAAACACACCATGAAAGTCATAATACAAAAACACGCAAACCAGATAATCCTACTGACCTGTCAATCAAAAGATAGGCACGGCCTAAAAGAAACACTGATTTATCGTGGAAAAAAACAACTGTTTTGAAGAAGATTTTAAAGTAGCATTCAGGACTATAACCTTACTAATATGGTTTACTGACTGAGGTAATGAATCATGGGAGAATAAGGAACATTTTCATAGACTTCTATACATCAGTTGCCTCCTGCTGGACATTAGAAGGAATGCAGCTTTAGGGCACTTCAGCAAAAGCTTTTTTTCAGGAACAGAGGTAAACCCCTTGAACTCTCCTCAGTTTTTACTCTCAGTTTTGTTTAAAAAAAAGTAATGTGGCATTGCCCACTAAGGCTTTGTTCAAATACAACCAATGGATGTTCTCAATCAGATCATAGCATTTAAAAAAACACTTCATACATTAGAGACATATTTCTCAACAGATGTTGTTTAGAATCCAGACAGAGGAATCATTTCTAACGACCTATAGCCAGATTGAACATAACAAATAAAAATAGCAGTTGCTCCAAATGGCTGTGTGAATGTTTGCCTTTTTCTCTGTATGAATGTGTGTGAATGGTTGAAGGCTAGCTTGAATATGGAAGACCTTTCAGGGGTTGTAAAGAATGGAACAGCACTATATCAAATGCAGTCCATTTACCATTTAAAATGCATTGGTGTATGGGAGAATGAGTGGGAAATACTGGCAGGTGTTTGTATGGGAGTCAGACCACCTGCACAGCCTGACCCTGGCACCATTATCTTTGAAAAACACGTTATGTGCAGGAACATGTTTCAAAGTATTCTGTGAGCAGAAATAGGATTAGGGAGTGAGCAAATTGATAAACTAGACAGTTATTTAATTGTGCGAGATAGAGCTAGATAATCAAAATGATTTCATGGTATGTCAAATCCTATGATTATTATTTTTAATGAGACAACGTTTTTTTAGTATGGGTGTTAACATTCAGGTAAATGTGTTACCAATTCGTGTTATTTGTTGTGCATGACCGGAACGGAAGCCAATAGCGTAACAGGTTAAAGGTCATGATGGGTATAAATAAAGCCACGCCTCCAATGGGAGAGCCCGTTGAATGAAATGGCACTGTCTCTGATGTTTCGTTATTCCTCCGCTTATTTGGATGCTAAACAGAAATTAAGTTATGCTTACTCTGCTAACAGGTTATGGGCCCAGAGACACCCAAATAAGTATTTCCGGCGTTTGTCCACCGATGGAAAGTCGCAACGTAGCACGTGTGGTGGATTAGCAAGCTAAGCTAACGCCATGAGCAGGTTGGGCACAGGATCCAGTAGCCGCTGGTCTCGGCTAGTGTTTGACGGGGATGAAAAGAACTATGAACTGTGGGAGACGAAATTCTTGGGCCATCTTCGCTTACAGGGACTGAAGAATACTATTTTAAGGAGTCCTACGGACATAATTGAGGAAGATGAAGAGGCGGACGATGAAGGGAAAAATGAAGAGGCTTATGCAGAGCTTATCCCATTTCTTGATGACAAAAGTTTGTCCCTTGTGATGAGGGAGG